TCCGCTATCTGTTGATTGAATGCTCAACTTTATCAGTTTGACACTTGTATTCGTGTGGTCATGTTTGCAGCAGAACCTCAAACTTTTGTAATTGAACCTTTATATATACGCACGCATTATTTACACGACGCATTGGGACTGAAAATGTATGTACAATAAATTACAAGTGAGGTGATCCAGTGTACTGTAGGGTGGTTCAGTAGGTTTTTGTACATAACATATACTTATTTACTTGATACTCGAACGGCCCGTCCTCATTAGTCGTGCGGGCCCCAGCATAATCACCATGTTTTGGAGATTTGCTGGTTAAGCTACTGTGGTTCTCCGGAGTCCCTAGGACAGCCTGACCAAAGTCTGCCCCAGGTCGTCACCACGACAGGCAGTCGCAGCCCATGTGGATCAAAGGGAGATTTACTACCGTTCGACTTTGATACCGAGACGGTGGTGGGTCTTGGTATTGGTTTACTCACCTAGGCTTCCTGATGGAAACGACGGGCTCTTTCTCAGCTTAGGAGACCTTGCCGGTGGGACGAATCCCCCGCTGTACATCGCAGTCCGACACTCAGGAACACCTCCCAGCCACGATGAGGCGGTAAATCCTTGGGAGGTATATAACATATTGGATTAGCAATAATGTAATGTTATGCAGCAGGCCTTTGAGGATATGAGTAATTAGCAAATATTGATTGTGTAAAAATATCGTTATGATTATAAGACAGTTATGATTTACGTGTTCTCAGTGCAAGAATGTGAATAACTATCGCGACAATGCTTAAGCAGTAAGAATGAAGAATTGTTGGGTAGAGCACCTGTGAGCAATGAAAGTATTTACCAAAATTGTTATGTTAACAGCACGCAGTAATTACAAGAGAATCGATGACAACATTAATGTAATGGAAATGCAAGAGTTACACGCTTTAGCTAAGATCATTTGTGCCTAGGCGAATCGAAGGGGTTGTGAGTGAAAGGATTATGTGGGAAAGCAAATATTAGTAAGGGAAGGATAGCGGAGAGCTCCACGGCGTCGCCAGAAGCCAAATGACAGTGCTAGTCTGCGTGGCTACGTCCAAGTGAGTAGCGTTGGTCGCAGGGTCAAGACTCGGGTCGCGGGGTGTAGTCCCCAAGCAATGAAGCGTGCCGACTAGCATACCTGGTGGTGTGCCTGATGGCTACAAGATGCCGTGTCTCGTGGCGCGCTCGATGGTTAAGATGTGATGTGAATGTAGGGCATTGAGGCGGACGTTGTGACAAATATTTTACTAACAATAGATTACATGCAATCACGAGAAATGTTGTCAACCGACTTATAAAGTGCCTTTGTTAGGTAGATAGGTAATTGCCGGTTTGTTAGAGAAATTCTCTATACCCAGCACTTCTCACATTCAATTCGTTTCCTCGTATCTATTGTCCACGAAGAACTTCCAACTTTGCGTGTGGCTTAGGTTGCTGCTTGAGGATTTTCATTTCAGCTGATGTTGTAGAATGTTGAGCGAGCAATTCTTTGTGGAGTTCCCAGGATCGACTTTCTATTAACCTCGGCATTGGGGTATAAATGAGTCGTTTTCTTTCTCAGCAATCGCGAGGGTGTTAAACAGTATACGTTTACTTCCATACAACAACGCGCATACAACACAACCATAGCTGACGCTTCCGCAGAATGGCCCTCTTCAGAGCCACTTTTTTCACCTGTCTTCCACGGAGGATGAATAGCAGCTCAGAGTCGCATATGGTTGACGGCTGCCACGTTAACTTCCTCGATGGAAGACAGGTGAAAAAAGCGGCTCTGAAGAAGGCGATTCTGCTGAAACGTCAGTTACGGTTGTGTTGTATGTGTGTTATTGTATGGAAGTAAACGTATGCTGTTTAACAACTTTGCGATTGTTGAGAAAGAAAGCGACGCATTCTCCCTGGAGTCCTGAGATTGCAGTTCCAACTTGGATTGCAGAGAGTGATTTTTCTTTTTCAAGTCCGGTACCAACTTCCCGACCTCGGAAGGATGAAGAGCTTGGCTGGTCCGAAGCGGAAAAGAACTAGCACCATGCTCGTGATGACGGAAATCACTACCACTCTAATATCCTCCCTCTTATCACACGGGATATGGCCCCTTGTGTCAAATTGATTTTCTGATCGGAGAATGGTTCATTGCTCATAACGTGTTAACAACACCCTATTGAGCTTACTCCATTTGAGGACTGAAGCTTGCATCGGTTTTGAATACGATTTGAACTGGAATTCGGAAACAGCGAACGAATCATGGAACAAGGAATGGTGTAGTGCACCTAGGCTCTGAAAAATGCGAAATCGCGAAACGTCTCCTATGGCACTTGAAAAACAAAAGGTACCAGTATCGCGCTAACCTAAACAACGGCTAGTCGTATACCAGTCGAAACACTTATACATGGTTACCTGTATCACCTGTAATCCACTTAACAATGGAATTCGAATGAGCAATAGCGAGACCTCCATTTGTTTTCGTTTCGCGGCAGAGCTGCTCAGCTTTCCCCGCTCGCTCAATCAGAGGGCAACCCAACAATCACATTGAAATCTTCATAAATCTGAGGTTGATCTTTTCACCTGATAAGGCCAAGTTTCTGACGATGCAGTTACGTCTAATATTTCGTGAAATCCTTTCTGCAATACTCTGAAACTTGTACTCATCGATTAAACAATAATGCGTAATGGGTGATTACATCTTCAGAATGAAAGTGTTCACTCTGTTTTTATTGGCGACAATTTGCTGTTGTGCCGCACTTGAGTGCTTTACGGAAATTCAGTCCATCTCCGGAAGAACTGTTGGTGAGCTGTAATTCTCTAGATTTCAAATTTCTTTTTTCAGCCACCTAAAAGATTTCAAACAGAGCACGAAACAAATCTGAAAAAGGTCCGGAAAGCATATTTTGTTGCGTTGTAAATAATATCATATAACTGCCAATTTCATGCAGAACTTGCCTATAAATCCTGCTTTCTTATCGCTTGAAACGTTTCACTCAATCTTTCTGGTGTCTTTTTTTGATTGCATAACATTTAGATGTCAAAGTTAAATTTCGAGTGAATCCACCAGCTCGGCAGTAACATGTGGAGAATTTCTCTAGGCTGACGGTGAAGTTACACAGAAACACAAATGTCTACACTAGCAGTAGTCCAACCTCACCACGCAGAACACAGGGCGATCCTGCTTGCGATGCCAGGTGGTGGAACAACCGCTGAGAAGCGATCAAAACTCAGGTTGCATAGGAAGTCATTAGAATTGGGTCGAATGAATAGCCCCGCAACATGACATAGAAACTACTTCTTGTTCCAGACCTGTAGCTTAATAGTCTCTTTATATGCCTATTTTTACGCTTCTTCTGAGGCCAATGTGGCATAAAATTCTGTGCAACCGCCTGAAAAGAAGCGGAGGGCAAGAAGCCAACACACGCCAACTAGGCGACAGGACCCTTGTCATTCATAGAAGGAAATTTCCGTTACGAAAATATGGTGGCATTCGAATAGAAAGGAATACCATCAACTTCTATTCACCAACCTGTGCAACTGATGGGAGCTAATTGGACGAGTTATACACTCAATTTAAGGAGGTAATTCTCAGCAAACACAGCTTTTATAAATTCATTGATGGAGGTTTGAATGCCAGAAAAGGAAAGGTTAACGAGATTGAATACAGAGTAAAATTCAGAATAAGAGATCGCAATAGAATATAAAACATGCTGTGGGACACCAATCAGGCATGTCTGTTTTTGTAATTTCTAACGTTTGTTTCCATGGTGACATGATTCAATGCCTGATTTAACCACCGCGTTCTTTCTACACGATACGTCATCACATCTACTGTGCGGCTTCCAGAACTTCGTACAATCGATTCGTTTCCTCGTATCCAACATCCATAATGGTTTTCAAACATTTTGCATGTTGTTTCGGCTGCTGGTTGAGGAGATCACCTTTGCTCGTAAAGTGGTGGTTGAGTCTACTCTCTTCGCAACCTTGGAGATAGCCGAGATAAAGCGTTCCCAAGTGGATTGCAGGACAGCCTTGTGGCTGATATCGAAGTAGCGCCCTTGCTTCTTGACCGCCTAAATCAATAATCATTGCACTGTCTCCAACTAACCTCCGTGATATTGGAGCAAAACTCGTCTGCATGCTATATTGAAAGGGAAAAGAATAAAGAGTTTGCCATTGATCAGTCTCCTAGGGTGTGCAGTGCACTAAACATTGTCAGAAACCGTTCGAGGTTAGTGAATGCATGTCCAGTTTGTGCAATGAACTATGGTGGCCCACCGATATACCAAGTAAGTGCTTCTATCTTCGCAAGCAAATTTGACACCAATCTGCCAACAATGAACAATTGGAATGTTCACTGAGTTCGGAGCGTGAGATCGAACTGGGGATTATATTTTACTGAAAAGAACCTCTAACCATTTTGCCAAACGCCTCCCGCAATGAGAATATTTTTGATGAAGTACTGTCCTCACGCAACTGGCAAGTAGAGTACGACCCGACCAACGACTGCAAGCATTTGTCGAAAGACGTAGAGCTTGTGCTGAACTCGCGTCAAACACTCAAATCAGAAGTTCTGACCATAACTCCATCCAGTGGAAATCCCACTCGTACAGCACGGCTATTAGAAGTCGCCGAACCGTCATCAATCGATAAACAGCACCGTTAACCGCGACAATGAAAACTAGTAGCATCCTCGCCTCAGCATCCTCCACGAGTGCTCATCTCATCTTCTGAAATACATTCTTGAAGAACGGTGCAGGATTCTATAGATGACTGACTGACTCTGAAGTTCGAGATTCTATAGAAAATTTGAAGGGTGGCAGAGCCCCAGATTCCGATTATGTCATTGCCGACTTTTTTTTCAAGGTGCTGACCTAACATATTTAACGACGAAATGGAGTTTGAAAGTGTTGAAATCAGTAGTTTTCGACTAAGTTCTAAATATTTTATATAAGGAAACTTTAGTCGATTGCTAAGGTAACTGCAGTGAAAAAGTAAATCTGTTCCAACGAACTTTTACCACTCCCACAGAAGAAGATGTTTGACAAGCTCTCCATGAATCGTAGCTTATGAAAGGACCATGGTGCGAAAGTGAACAAATCGAAAAGTATAGTCGTAGGATTACAAGAGCAACCAAATACGTATACTATCTAGACGTTTAGTGGACGTAGAGGACAACGTGGAGAATGAAATATATAGAAGAAGGAGAGCAGGAGGTCGTCAATCAACTAACGAGAGTGAAACTCTTCGTTTATTTTTTTACCATTGGTGGAAATGTTCATGGACTATCAGCGTTTGCAGATGAAAGCGATTTCTGGATTGCCGATTGTTCTTTGCGAACGAGTTCGTAGCAGACTCCCCCCCCAATGGACAATGACTGCGCAAAAAAACCCTGCTCGCATTACTTGTGATGATGCGCGATGCAAGTATCCAAGTAGTTAATTATCTAAGTGTATCGATACCAGTACAGTAGCGGCTTTTATTTATTAGAATGAACTATAACTAGCTGAACTTGACTAAGTGATGTGGCAGAGCTTTTAGCCTGATAACGATACTTTCTAGGCACATCCAAAACCACTTGTTCAAAATCAACCGATTACTGTTACAATGCAACAGCCTATTTCTCACAATCCAACCAGTCATCAATAGTAGGATGTTCGACGACTCGGTGCTCTGTGGGGTTTTGTACTTCTTATAAATGAATTCGTCGCATATATCTGTCTTTCACTTCGTGTTTTAGGCGAGTCAAAATAAGTGCATCAACTACACGCATAATGGACACCAAGTCACGTTCTGTTGTTGCAACACCAGTGATTTGTGCAACTGGAATATTTCTGTTCGTTTTGATTTTCAGCCAAAAATTTTCAATCATACTTGTTGCTTCTACGTTATCCTACCCCTATTAAATCTAGGGGACTGTCGTAGGACCGTGGTGACTTAACATGTCAAGACGCCTCGAAAGTCACCATAGAGGCCAAATATGCATTCTACCATTCTACAATTGTTAATGAACTAGAAGAGTGCGTAGCTCGTTCATAAGAGATAGGTCAATCCCGAGCGCTCTATTCTTCATCGTTTCACCATATATAATCTTGTCACCGAATTATTTGCGCTTCCACGCATTCTGCGCAAGGGGTAGTACTCTGCTGTTCTGCTACTTCGTGGGAACTCAACGTATTCTCACTTGCAACGGAGAGGAGATCCGTCATTTGAGGACGTTCGTGGTCAGAAAAGTTGTTATTCAAAATCAAAAAATTTCGTATTCGACGTCAGTAACTCCCTAAAAGATTCGCTTGACATTTCGGTTTATTAAGCATTGCAGGGGGTGAGTAAATGCACCTCTAGTGTTTACCAATTTATTATTATTGCATGACACACCACATATATAAAACAACGCAGGTCCCACTACATAGTGCAAAGAGGGCTGGTCGGATCTGGGCTGTGTCGAGCCAAGGCCAGGGTTAGTTAGGGCATCTCCGTAATTAATGAAATCATTAACACCGCGCAAACTTCCTTGAATGCATATCAAGTTTATACAGTGACTTGGAGAAGCCTACAAAGTCTGCGTACTTAATTTCTTAGAAGACTCTGGTGTTCAATTTACTGGCCTCAGGGAGTGGAAATATTTCTGCGATCTGAGCGTCCAGCGATCGATACACTTTGCTTTGCAGTGACACACCTATAGCCTTTGCGCTGCATGTGCCGTTTGCCTATACTTTATTTTTTGAAGCATGAAGATTTTCTGTACACATATTCGTTTCAGAACCTCAGTATCTACGGGAAAGTGAAGCAGTGGATCGGAAATATCTTCGAATAAGATGAAGTGAAATTGAGCACACACATGGAGAATGTATGAATTCTTCCCTTATTTACCATATTTTAATAAACATGGTGGTTTATTTATGCGAGAGAATTCTAGGATGAACGCGGATTATTAGTTTGTTCGTGCTTTCTTCAAGGCACCTACTTGCTCTTTGTGTGTGAATCCTTAGTGATATCTTGTTGATAATTTTCTTGCCGATCTAGGCGAAGTCCAGTCGGCTTCCATAATTTCACCTAGGTGTAGACTAATGTAAGAAATCATGACTAACCTAGAAGGCACTCACTCATAAGAAGGCAAGCCTATCTCATTCACACAGAGATTGTGGTTATTGCGATAACCTAGGAACACTATGATTTAGCCATCTTCTAGCAAAAAACTCTGCGCAAACATCAAAGCAGAATTCAAATATGAACTGAGCTGGAGCTCCGTACAGTTCGTTATGACGACCCATTTAAACCAAGCAACTGATGATAATGCTATGAAAATCCTACTGATTAAGTTATCAATTTCTGCTGTTCTCACGTTTCGAGCAAATGGGGAACGAACCGAAGCTAAAGTATTATTCTGATGATTTGAGTAGACACTTAAGGAATTGAGAGAAAAGGCGGAATGCCTATGTAGGGGCGCCAGCTAAACAGGAATAGTCTGTCAGTCTTTGCAGTTCTTTTCTTCAAAAAGAATTCTCACACTTATTACAAACTATCTCATCATGCAAATCGCCTGTAAAGTAATGTAAGCCCCACGAAAAATTAGTAAACGCATTTTTCTAGAATCCATACTATCTACCATTGTCGCACACTCTTAAATAGATGCTGAATATCTGAAAAACCAAATAACACGCTTTTCCTTCGTAGTTATTTCTGAAATTTTCTCCTATCTTCATGGAAAAATGCGTCAGATTCTGAACACTTGGATTACGAATATCTTTGAAATCAATGTTGGACAAGTTCTTTACTAAAGACGCCTCACTCAACCAACATTTCACTCCGATGGCCACCATTATCTAATATACAGCAGACAAGAGGACTAGGAGCCTTACAGCTGATTCAAGCACGGAGAAATGTGTGCGTTTGGGTGTTCGAGTCAACATGTACGTGTCGCTGTGTGTCGGTGTGTATATGCCTATATGTGTGCATCTGTCTGTCTGTTTTTGGATTACTAAGGGGATGTATGAGCTACACATAGTTATATGAGCGAAGGGCTGAATGAGGGTAAGTGGTGATAACCACGATTTAAATCCTTATGCAATTTTTCGTGGTGAATGAGTCAACGCAGCATACGCAGTGTGTCACCATTTAGTGGTAGACTGAAAGCAGCTCAGTGGCATGACACCGTGCGCAGCTGCTTTATTACTATTTCGTTAAAACTACGCTGTATGCACAAAACTTCTGCATGATTGGTGTTCGACCTTAGAGATCATAGTGCTTGAAATAGTCCAAGCCGCCAAATCCAACTTTTTATTAAGGCCTTTATTGATGATCGGGTTGTAATCTTGATGGGCTGACGCAAGGGGCATTATGTAGCATTTATTCCGTTATGCCCAGTGTTTCAATGAATTTTATTTTTTTCGAAATTTACAGAGGACCATGTTGCCTTAAGTTTATTACTGAATTACTGACCGCCTGCATTGATACCAATTCACGTTCTATCGGACGGATTATTTTTCCGCAGAGAGTTCATTTACTACGATTTTTAATATTAGGCTAATAACTAGCCTATGCCTTAAAGCTATTCTTTTCACCTAATAATCTTCACTCTTCGTTTCGAGCAAATTTTTCAACTCACTCTGTGTGCAGCGGTAATTCGATTCGACCGGCAAACAAAAATACACAACTGAGTATCTCTTAACCTTTTTTGTCGTCTTTTTTTCGACGGAAGATCGATTCCAAAACTCTTTTACGAGTTGAAGGATATCCCGTCCTTCAGGTTAAAATAACAACCTCAGATATGAGGTAAAGTTACATGTGATTATAAGTTAGGGCAGTCCTCCCTGGGGTGCATTTTCTGTTAGCAAAACAGTCAGAATCACAATCAACCTTCAACAACCTCCCAAAAGCATTCCACTAGAAGCAACACGAAGACAAACACGGAGCTGAAAAATTTGAAGTTGAAGTCACTGTCACACCAAAGGCAACAAAAACGACATCTTATGGAGAAACTCTTAAACAATTTTCAAGCATTTTGGAAGGCCAAAAGATGAACTACAAGAAAGGCTTCCCTCTAATTACATTTGACCTTGTTTCATGTGCCATAAAAAATTTACAACAGGGTGAATACAGCTTTTGTTTTGAGTTAGTAGTCTATCAAACATCAAACGGTCACCAGAACAGCAGAGCTTCAGACCATCACTCTTATCTTTCCACTACTGAAGAAGTGCGTAACGGTGAAATTTTCTGCATAGGGACCTCGTTCGTCGATGTTTGTATTTCCCATGTTATGTGCTGTTGAAAAGGCGTTTATTGGCTTGCCAAGGGCGCTTTGTTATGGACAGCCTTATTACAATCGCTTTCTACCTGTAAGCACACCTTGTTCGGTCACAGAAAAGTCTGCCATTGATTTTCCCTTCTCTATAATCTGACAATGGAATGCATGGATACTGGATGGTATTGGGTGCTACCTCTATATTAATTGTTCCAATAATTTTTCTATCTTTGTAGCCGACTCACTGACCTGTCTTTTCACCGTTTATCAGTTCTCTCACTTCTCTTTTATTTCTCGCCGCATGGGCTTCTTTGTACTCCTTTTGCAATTAGAAATGAATCACACGCCGTTCGAAGCAGAATTCTAAATGATTGTATGTTTTTATTATGCTGGAAAATGCGCCTATTCCGTAACATTTGTGCTAGGCAGTGGAGAGGTGCTCTTTACAAGCATCGAAAAACCTTCCACTCATTTGTAGAGGAAAGACAAAAGGACCGACATGATTTGACATAAAATCATTTTTTGCTTTCATTTATCCTTCAACATTAACTACAAGAGCCTTGTTGTCGCTTTCATATTCAATGGATAGCCCACCCAAAGTAGAACATTGCGTACCGTAGGCCTAATATCCCTTTATTTTTTTAAAAATTTTACTTGGCACGTCATCACCATCTACTCTGAGGATCTCAGCACTTCTTGCTTCCGGTTCGCTTCCTCGCATCCAACATCCTCATTGGTTTTCGAACATTTCGATTTTGTTTCAATTGCTGCTCGAGAATTTCGCCTTCACCATTACCTACTCATTTGGATATTTGGACGGTTGTCTTCACCAATTGTGCAGACACCAACACATCATTAATGTCGCAAAGTACTGGTCGAGTTAATTCTCCTTGCAATATTGGAGATAGCCAAACTAAGCCGATTCCACATGGTTTGGAGGAGAACGTTGAGACGAGGATCGAACTAGAGCGCGACAACTCCACAAACACTCCGCTATCCCCGCTCAGATACACCTAATAATTTACAAAGATAATTTCTCCTGGAAGAGATTATTTCTTCGGCAACGAACGTTTTCTGCTGAAGAAAGAACTCACTAGTCAGACCGTCGTGATTAGTTAGAGTACATAGGTGTATTTGCACTACTCGAAAACTTAACTTTGCCACTTGGTAAAATACAGCTCCATAGTCGACATCACCTGAATAAATAGGAGGGAAGGATTTTATCAGTGTGCTTCTACACGATAAATTTTTGTGATCCTTTATTCTCGTAACATTTTGTTGACGTACAAGGAAAGGGAAGGTATCATCTTCTCAATGAAGTGGCTGTTATGTGCAATGTTGGATCTGGTGATCTAGAGCAGTCTCCGCGTCGTAGAGCAGGAGCTCTGGTTTCTTCGGTTCATATGCTAGCTTGTGCTCTGTTCATATGCCAACTTTTACTATTTCTTCATTCTTTTGCAATCACAGTGATTAGTTAGTCACCCTGTTGTTTAGCTCCCCGTCACACCTAGGACTGTCGCGGAAATGATTCATCCTTTCTGCATTGGACAACCATCATAGTTTATGACGAATTTACACGATTCCTTTACATCACTTTGCTTTCTACGCAAATGAAAAAGTTTCTTGAGGTGCTGTTTTTTCAAAGCAATTACATCGTTTGTTTATCATCAAGTTACTTAGGTGAGCAACAGTAAGACTTCTCCGTGAAAGCTAAACAATCCAAAGAAATCAGTAACGCGTCCACTCGTTCTTTTGGAGTAACAAAATCTCACAGCAGGCTTCGTTCGCTCAGTCACGCGGTGATATCTCACCATCACACATAAGCTCGTCCCATATCTGAGATAGATATTTTGACATGAGACAGACACATTCTTGTGATGTTATGACTAAGCTGACACGGTTCAGTCCAATATTCTGTTAACTCGATTCGGCTATTCCCCGAAAGTTGAGATGCATGTTCATCGGTTAAGCAGTCTTACATATTGAACTTTCATCTTCAGAACGGCTTCTATGAGTTTAGTTATTTTACTGGGAGCAGCTTACGGTTGCGCTGCGCTCGAGTGCTACGCAGGATTCAAATACGTCGCTGGACGAAGTGTTGGTGAGCAGTAATTTTTTGCACCTCTGATTTCTTTTTCATTCATACTTACTTGGATACTTAGATAGACCATCTCCACTGATTGTGCGCACTCCAGTATAACCTCTATTTTTCGGAGTTTTGCTGGCTTCACCATTGTGGTTTCCTGGAGTCCCAAGGTTAGCTATGCCAAAGTCTGCTCCTGGTCGTGCCACCACAGGCAGACGCCGCTCTTGTTGATCAGAGAGAGATTTGCCACCATGCGACCATTTCGGTACCAGAACGGTGGCGGATTCAGGGATTGGCTTATTCTTAGCTGGCCTTCCTAATGAAAACGCCGGACTCTTTCTCAGTTTGGGAGACCCTTCATTTTTTTCAATCACAAAAAACTGCAGAAAAAAGGTTGCAAACTGGTATAATATCGAAAAGGTCGTTTTATTGAGAAAGATAAAATTTGCTCTAGTCATTATCGCAGGTTTCCACTTGAGCTTCCTTACAAATCTGATTCGCGAGGTAGCGAATTTCCCTCTGATCCAATAAGGGTCGATGACCATCTGCGGCGATCTCGACCTGTGGAAAGCTCCCACTAGGTCTACCTTAAAATTACAGAAAACCACAAATCTCTAAATCAGCAGTAATGCAACATCGGTACCCCTCCATACTGGGCGCTCCCGTCTAACAATATCGCGTTGGTAGACAAACAGTGAAAAACGATCAAAATTCGGGTTGCAAAGCGAGTCAGTGGAACCAGACCAAACGAATACGCCTACGACAAGCCATGGAGACTGCATCTTGATTACCAGCTACAACATTGAAACAGTGTCTTTGGACTCCGATCTTTAGGCTATTCTTAAGGCCACTGGTTGCATCAAATCATGTGATATGCTACAATAAAAGGAGCGAATAAGCACAGTTGTTTTGTTGTCCGTCATCACAAGCATGCCGCTACTTCGATTCCGCTCCGGACCAACCACGCCTCTCATCCTTCCGAGGTCGGAAAATTGGTACCGGACTTGTCTGGGAAAGAAGTCACTCTTTTCGTTCCAATTGAGAACGCCCCAGCCCGGCTATCCCAGGACTCCAGGGAGAATCGTTCGACCGGCATTCTCCGATATTCAAGAAGAAATGAAAATCGTCAAGCAGCAACCGAAGCCACAAGTAAAAGTAGGAAGACCTTCGTGGAAAATGGATGCGAGGAAACGAATCGAATGTGAGAAGTGCGGGGATCCACGCAGTAGACGTGAAAACAGGTCATATGAAATAAAAAAAGTAAAAATTCCTACAAGAAGCTGCTGGGGCCGTTGTCATTCAAGGTAGAGAAATTTCACTATGAAATGATTTTGGCTTTGGCTTCGTTTTACAACTACCTGTTTCCTACTCCGTGCCTATAGAAAGCCAACATCATTTGCTATTCACCTACCTGCGTAGATGGTGAGAGGGAATTGGATGCACTCTCCATCCTACTACGGAAGGTAGTGCCCAATGAAAACTCCTTTTATAAATTCATTACTGAAGGTCTGAATGCCAGAATAGAAAGAGCCAACGAAAATGACTACAAGCAAAAAAATTTAAAATAGGAGATCGAAATGGGATTGGGAAACATGCGGTGGGGCACCTATGGGCAATATGTTTGTTCGTGAGTAATCGTTTCCCGTTTCCGTTTCCGTGATGCCAACACTTTCTACTGGATCTGACCATCGCATTTGCTGAGCGAGGTTCGAATCAGTCGGTTCGAGGACAGAGAACTCTTACTGTTATCGAAGAAGAACAAGTCATATTCTGTGTGAAGATAAGAGAAGGGAGAAGAATGAAGCTTTTGTCATTGATCAATCTCAGAGGGCGAGCTATGCATCAAACTTTCTCAGGCATCGCTAAAGGTGGTTGAATGCATATCAGGTCTCTGGAATTAAATCTGGTGGCCCACTGATGTATCAAATCAGTGGTGCTATCCTCGTAGGCGGGTTTGACATCAATTTGCTGATCCATAACGAATGGAGGGCTTGGTGAACCCGGACGCGGGACCGCGCATAAGACCATATTTCTATTTCGGAACACCTCTAAGCTGTGCGCACATTTCATCAGAATATTCCCGATGAAAGCTTGTCCTAATGTAAGTAACTGCCACATAAAGTATTGCCCGACCGATTACAACAAGCTGCTTGTCGAAGAACTTAAAGTTTGTGCTGAACTCGCGCTAGTCACTCAAATAAGAAGTTCTATCATATCTCAATCATCATTAAATGGTTGACAGAGCACTAAAAAAAGACACTGAAGCTTGGTTCTATTCTAACACACCTATCGCAATAAGACGACGAAGAAAGTGCATCGAAAAGACGAACGGCTGTGGACCTTCAACTCGGTTCTTCGGTTCTGATGAGAGTAAACACGTCGAGACGTTGGCCGAATAAACATATTTACTATCGTCGTGCAAGCTTGATAATCCAAAAAGATGTTGGTTATTGCTACCGAGGTTAAATAGCGTCCGCTTTGAAAATGTTGTTGCAAAATTATCAAAGTTAATAAGGAATGCCAACTGCACAGGATTTGCAGGATTTGTATGCCCACAAACAGAAAAATTTATTGGAAGGCTCAAAAACTATCTAGTCTGAAGGGATGTGGTTATGAACTTTGCGGCTACAGCACTTCTTTATCAACCCTGCTGAAGGAAGTTGAGTCTATCGCCACATCCCTCCATGAAATAGAATTGATAACGTAGAAATTCTATACCAACCCCCGCGATACAGTCACCGTCTCGGACTCCAAAATCCACCGAAAAAATACCGTACTACATTCTACCCACTGAACATCAAGTTGAAATACAAAGCACGAAGAAAGGCATAGATCCAATACTCGATAATATTACCGCCGACTTATTCGGAACTATAATGTATAATCTAGATATGTGTACATTCTCGCAGCCCAGGTGATATCGTATCTTCAAAAGAAGAAAGTTCCAGCAGAGTCGGTGCACAGTGAGCTCAACAAGGCATGAAAAGAGACAATACTTCCCTTAAATGGAAGAAAAACTCAGTTAATGAAGGACTCATGGTGCGACGGTGAACAAAACGAACTGGATGTGGCTCTGGTTACAGAGAACACGTTGGATGTCCAATGAACATGAAGTTACACAAAAGAAAGCGAACAACATGGGGCCTTCGGGCCTTTCAAAGAGTCCACCGATCAACTAGTGAGCTTGAAACTCCGTGTTCACTCTTTTTTGAAGCAACGCTTCTACCAGCGCTTTGCTATGAAGCATTAACCTAATACTTCATCTTAGTCAAGAATTTTCAGTGACCACTCACAGAGCGCTTGATGTCTTTCGAAATCCAGCCGGTATTCATAACGCCTAGCTGGAATGCTCACCCCAGAACTTCTAAATATATCCTGTCCTCGAGACTCATTGTATTGTACCATTGACGGCGAGGCACAGATGGAAAGAACGGTGAAATCCAAGGCGATGCTAGCGTCTTATCAGGCAGCCACCTAGACGATGGATGCACAAGTTTGTGACATGACCGGCCATCTATATCCGCAGATGAAAAACATTTCTGAAACACCGCATGTGCCCTGCAAATGTCCCCGTATTTGAAGCAGACCACCATCACACGCAACAATTGCGAAAAAAAGACGGATGGAAGATGTGCTGATTCTCGTGTTACTTTTCAAGATGGGCTATGCAAGTATCTGTGTAGGTATTTGAGCATATCAATATCAGTGGGCTAGTAACTCTGTATATTAGATTAAACGAAAATAGCCTGAAAACAAATAATTGTTGCGGAGCGACATTCTCCAACTGGATGGAGGGATATACTTTCTAGGAACATCCAAAATCACTTGTTTAAAGCCAACTGATTACTGCTACAATGCGACAGCGAATGTCTCACAACTCAGCCAACTATCGATGGCCGGATGTTCAACGATTCGATGCTCTGTAGGACTTCGTAGTTCTCCTGATGAATGAATGTGTTCTAGAAAACTGTCCACTTCATGTTTTAGGCGAGTCGGAATAAGTGCATCAACTACACATACAATGGGCGGGAAATCAAGTTCTGTTGTTGTAACTCCAGGAACTTTTGCAACTCGAAATATTCGGTAACTTTTCATTTTTAGCCAAGATTTTTCATTAATAGTCGCTGCTTCCACGATATCTCACTTGTGTCAAAGATAAGGGACTACTGTAACGTCACAGTGAATTAACATGTCCGTAAGCTTCGCAGGCCACCGCGCAGGTCAATTATGCTTTCAATCACTTTAGCGATTCTTACTAAACCGCAACGCATGTCGAATTTTTGAGGGATATATTAGCGCCAAACGCCTTATCCTCTATAGTTTTCGTTAATCATGAACTCACTCAGGAGCCTACCCATTTTGTGTAAAAGAGTAGTCATACTGAACAGTCACTTAGGGTAGCTCTACCTTATCTGGCATATTACCGGTCAGTAATGCCTGATATAAAAACGCTCATGGTCAAGCAAGTTGGTACTTGAAATTAGGGAATTGTATAAGAATGTGTTTCGCCGTCTGTACCCTTAAATTTTTCATTAATACAAAATTCATTTTTTTGTCCTTTTACTTAAAAGGATTATACATTCAGTGTTGACTAATCCTTAGGAGGTGAAGAATAGATTTGATTTCATTAAGCATCGTAGAGCTGATTAAACGCATATCTGACCCATACATTGACTCGCGGTTGCCAGGCAGTGTATAAATTGTGTGTTACTATCCTCTCAGACAAGTCTGCTAAAAATTTGCCGATTCTATGGGGATGGAAGGAATGGTGACCCGGGGCGCAAGATCGAACCAAAGGCTGCGTGTGTATTGCTGGGCACCTCTAACCACCGCGGTACACGAGACACTTGCTTCTTCATTATTCTTTATCGGAGCATCCTTACACTTGAAAAATAGGTACCATTATGAAGAAAAATTTCATGAATGCACAGCCTTACATATTTGCCTATTAAATATTTTAGGACTATTCCAAAGATAAATTAATTAAGAGCTCCATTTTTGGCAGTTGTAGTCATTTCAGAACCTCACTTTCTTCGAGAAGGTGAAGCAACGGGTCAAAGATATCGGAAAAGTCATTGGTTAACGGTGAACCGAATTTGGGGCGATACCTGAAGAATGTATGGATTCGTTCTTAGTTTCGCACACTTTGATCAATATAACGGTTATTTATGCGAGCAAACTGTTAAATAAACGTGGTTTATGAGTTTGTTCATGCTTTCTCAAAAAAATTCTTTTGGTGTTTGGATTCGAATTATCAGTATTCAATTGTTGGTAATTTTTCTGCTGACATAACCACAGTTGATAATGGACTCGGTCTTCGTTCATTAAGTCACATGAAGGTAAAGTCACTGTATAAGTATAAAGTGAAGTCATAAAGTGAAGTATAAAGTCACTCCACGAGGACGACCTCGAAGAAATGCATTTAGGCGATGAAATGACAAACCTGCCGCTCCAGTATACTACTTGGACAGAAGCTTAAGGAGCGTTACGGCATCACTAGTCGTTGCGTTTTGATTTCGTCCTCATTCACACAAACACATTCTGAATATGTGAATACTCGAGTGATTTCAGCAACACAGTAAGCTTAAAAAGCAAAGATGGGATTAATTCTTTTTTTTGGAGGTCATTATATTAGGGTAGTTATTTTTATACGCTTTCTTTCGTGTTTATGTTCAGGTAGACGCTGAAACCGGTTTTACGTTATATATGCTTTTATCCCCTATGCTTCGATGTCTTCGTCTTTTGCTGAGCCGATGATCCGAGTCGATAGCCCACAGCCGCTCTTGCTCGCTTTGTACTTCTTCGTAGTCTATCGAGTCCAATCTTTTTCAGTGAATTAGCTTTCAAGGACTATCAACTCGATACAACTACGAAGAACCCCAACAAGAGGATGAGCGACAGTGGTCCATAAACATAGTTCATTGGCTTTGAACAAGACGAAGAAGATCTGAGGAACAAGATTGTTAGCCAGATAAAGCTTGTATAAAAACTCCGCGTAAGGTGAACAATCTGATCACACATAATGACGTAAGAAAAAATCATGATAAAAGTAGACCCGAACAGTCAAGGATATCTCGTTGCATTATTAAGCGTGCACAAAGTTATTACACAAACTTTTTCTGTGCTGTCATTTACACAAATATTAATTATCTTACATAAAGCGCAATCGCTTTTGTGGGAGGAGCGGGAGCGATTCTTCTTTGTTCGTTACTAGTTTGTTTTGAAATGGTGTTCTCACCATAAACGATATGCTCTCCATGAGTATCGACTCATCCGCACAACGATGTTCGGAAATTGTCGTTTAATTGTTGTTTTCACCTTCGTGTCTTCTCCTCTGTCTTCCTCCTTCTCCCGAGGTTGAAGTATTCGTCTTTGCCGAATCATCTCCATTTCACTAACCGCGAATCGATTTTAGATTCCTATGAGAAGCTTTCCATTTTATTTCAGAATAACTCATATCCTTTTCCAAATCACTATATTTCACGTGATAATCCTCTTTGATGCTCTTTTGTCTACAAAAAACTGAAACTCGAAGAGAATATTTCTCAACGTACCAACTTGAACACCAAGGCGGTGGTTATCCACGTCCTCATTATAATTGTGGACATCGTTGAATGTTGAACGACGATGCACAGCAGGCTCGTTCTCTAGAGTAGTGTCACCCAGAATGAGAATGAACTGCACTATTGAGACGATTAGATAAAAGTTGAGCAATGCCGGAATTTGCCGTCTTATTAACAGAAAGCTAGTCGTAAACTAGCAAAACTCCATGCGATCCACAAAGTCCGAAGATTGGTTACACAGAGTAAACAGTTTTTCCCGATCTCTTCGCCACACGATCGGTTCTTAATTACACCTAATTATTTAGTTCACTCGCAGTGCTCTTTGCTACAATATGTTCTTGTTCTTGAACAATATAACATTGTATAATATGGCCCTTCTTAAGAACCAATTCCTCCTCTTATTACTTTTCTCTTCCGAAAAAGACGTTCCAATATTTGCCTTATTTTATTCAAAACGTGTTTTTTAATTTTTTTCGGACGACCCGACATCAAATGTTGTGCTGATCCAAGTCCGTGCATTCTATTCGTTACAGCCCATGCCTTGGCTTCCTGGTATAGTCGTGCTAGAACGTTCCAAGTTCTTCAGCACAGGCAGTCGTCAGAGTTTTTGAATCAGATAGCTCCTTAAAGACATGTCCGATGCCGATTTCCTGACTAAGAGGGAGTGGTGGGCTCATTTGGGAAGCGGTTTCGTTTATCTACAGACCTCGTATTGAACGGTATCACCATCACTGCGCTACCCGTGCCCCATACATGTATATATATATATATATATATTTGTATATATGTGAATTTGTGTATTCTTGTACATATATATATATATATATATATATATACATACATTGAATGAACGATGAGTATTTAAGCATTAGAAATCAGAGTATTTGCCATCACCAGTTTTTCAAAAATATTACCACAAAAAAACTTTTATAAAGTTGCAAAGGGATCGGTGACGCTTTACACACGTGTCTGTTAGCTTTCGCATCCACATCAAACAAAACGAAAGTTGACGTAAGACTTATCGTATAAACAATGATTGGAAATAGACAGTAGACAGCACCCGTTGTAGACGATTGCGCCTGTGTAACATCTCTGTAACATATGAACTTTTAAAAATAAACTTCGATCTTTTCCATACACAGTATGCGGTAGTGTTCAAGCATTTATGATGGCGCATTCAAAAAGTAGAAAAGAAAGAAGGGAGACTAAGGGTAAGGAAAAATAAGTTAAGCGTGGAAAATGGAGGCAACTGACTGAATGGAAATTCAAATGGAGGTAAGAGGATGTGAAAAGAAAAGATGACACTTAAGGACTGATCTGCCTGATGCTCTGAACGGAAGCGGTCCCAGAGGACTCTAAGCTCATCGGTTTATCCGTTATTCTGACCTTTTCTTTCAAGTAAAATACTGATCATATCAAAATCGACAGCGTTGTATGTTTTCGAATTTTTCAAATAACGACTGGTTGTCTCATTTTTGAGGTCGCTTTAGGAAGTACAAGAAATTTCCAGAAGTGATCTCGTTTTCGTAGCTATATCAGGAGGATGGTGCTAGTTTTCCTTTCAGAGTTTCCAAAAATTCTAATAATATGGATGACGGTAAGATCTTAGTAACCACTAGTGAATTCCTCAATGCGGTGATCCATTTGGTGCGTGCCCTTTTTTATTAGGCAATGTCCCAAATATTACGTTGATCCAACGTGTATTTTGTGGTCTTGAAACAGCAGACGATCTCGCGAATCTAAGGACCTTTCTGGATGACGGATGCGAGGAAAAGATCTGGATAAAAGCAGTTGTTGGATGACGGGTCGTGTAAGAAGATAGAAGCAAATCGTTTGCAACCTTGACTCTTAAAGTTATTTTTCTGCAAATAGACATCAATAAACTTATCTCTATGGGTGTTTTGCTATTGGTTTCGCTAATCTCCATTGATCGCCCATTATACACACATTAGTTGCCTAGTTGTTAGCCAACCAATGAGGAGCAGCACTGCGAAAATCATAGATGACTTAAACTTTATTTTTCATTTTTCTTTTCTTTTTCTTTTTCTTTTTTTTGCAATTTTCTCAAACAGCTTAAGTGAGAAGAACGTCCACACGCTGTCACGAAGACGAGGCTCATCGCTCGACAGTGCCCGACATTGGGGCGATGAACGGCCGATAATTGTCGCACATCTTGCGAATCCTGCGACTGAAAAGAAATTGGCGTCTTCCAATTCCCATCTGATCTTCTTCAAACATTTTCACGACATCAACACCAATCTCGTTTTTTTTCCGTTTTCATAAACGATGTCTCGAAAACAAAGCTGCTTACCTTTTCATCTCTTTAATTTTCCTTCCATCGTTCTGAAAACAACGCAGTACAAAAAATCGATAGTTGGTAGCTCATGATAAGACAACTTCTATTTAATGACATTCGATGACAACCATCATTAAACACTCCCAACACCATGCAGCTTTGAAGATGGATTGATTCTCTCTGTTTATCCAAGTATTTGAGAGCATTATTTATTATTTACTTCATTTTACATGACTCGTCATCACATCTACTGTGCGGACCCAGCTCTTCCTGCGTTCGATTTCTTTTCCTCGCGTTTAAAGGTTTCACCTTCCTTTTATCAATATCGTAGAATGCTAGTTGAAATAGTTGGAGAAAGCTAGGCTAACGAGTACCCACTTAGAGTAAAAGATAGCATGGGAAGGAGGTGAACGAGCGCCTTGGTTCCCAATGTACTGTATCACTAATCAGTGAGCTACCTCCCCCTCTTCCGAACTAATGCCTGATTTGAAAATTTAGAACCTTTATTTCTGAAATTTAAATCGCGTTCGAAAATTCTAAAGAACCTCGAGTGAGAAATGTTACTACTAGGTGTCAGGTGAAGTTCTGCTAATTTTTAACGCTAATTTACTTCGTGCTTTCAAATCTACTTGTTGAAAACTTGCAAGTGAGTTTGAGCGTATCGTGGAAGTGGCTGTTTGCCACGTGATTTGAAATGCAATGAAATTTACTCAGTTTGAACGCCAACCGGTTTGACCGAATCGTTCAACGCACAAGTATTATACTGAATTATTTTTAAAAATGCGTCACTGAATCCGGTCTAGATGTAATCTCAAAAAGGTTGAATAATTCAGTCAGGGTTCATAAAAACTAGATGGTCCTTGGCTCCCGCTAGAAACCTAGGGAACTCACGGAATAAGGCGAACACTGTCAAAGGGTAGGCACTAATGAAAAGCTGATCTTTCCACGATTTCTACAGAAGATTAAAGTTTTTTCAAATCCTACAACTCCTGAATTTCCATCTTTGACGTGTAGGACCCTTATCAGAAGCACAAAATCGCCGTTTTAGTGTCGCTCATCGCCGATGCGTGGTTATCCAAATTCGATTTGCGGCAATATTCTTAAAATATTAGTTAATTATAATACTGGGAATCGCCGCCATCTTGGAATAATCCTAATCGCAAGGTAGTGAAGTGGAGGCGTGCAGTGGAGTGATTAAATCTTTAAGGTGCTCTACAATGCACAACGTAGTCGCTGGTGCAATCCCACGCTCTGGGCTCAATCAGTCTTCCATCCTTCTAAGGTCGGCAAATTAGTAACGGAGTTCTGTAGAAGGATAGCAGCACTAATTTGATACATCGGCAGGGTGTTACAACTCACTGTATAGGCCAGATGTGCATTCATTCACCTCTAACGAAGTTTAATGAAGTCGAATACATGTTGCATCCTTCAGGATTGGTCAACGCCGAACACTTTATCCTTTATCATTTTAAAGTAGTAAACCTACCTCGGCTCTGCAAACGCTGCCGGCTGGTTATGGTGAAGGCAAACGAACTGTACTGGCACAGCTATCCTGGAATTCCAAGGAAAAAAGTGCTCAAAAACAAGGCTCGCAGTTATGAAAACGTTCCGTCTCAGTGAATAAACGAGAGGGTTAATAATTTCGCGGTGAAGTTTGATGTGTTTTCATTATGATCATGCGAACATTTCTGCCTAATACATATTTGTATAAGACATTTGATGTGTTTCTGAGTGAAGTCCTTCTGAGGTATTCCTGTTTCTTTTTTTGATGTCATCACTCATTGTTTAGTGGTACTAGGCACGCACTTGTCGTCTCGTAATCTTGATGGGAACTACTGCAATAAGAACGAGAAAGATTCTGATCCATTCGACGAGTGTGTGAACCAGTTTAGTTCTTGTAATCGAGACAGCTATTGACGATATTATCATGGCTAAAATCATTTTGAACTTTTGGACTCGTAAAACTCTTATATGAGCACTTTATAGAACACGAACTGCTGGTTTATAGAACGCAGTCTTTGAGTGCTCCAATTTCTACTGCAATTTTTGATCAAAACATGGCCATCTTCTACATTTTGCCCTTTTTGTTTCCTCGCCATGTTCTCACTATTTTGATATCATGCAACGCTCATGGTTCAGCAACTTTTCCTTCCTAACAAGCACTGGCACAATATTTGCCCATTCGTCTTTCAGCGTTCATCGTCCTCTATTTGGTGTCATCTTTCACCAATTTCTACCACTGTTCACTCTTAAAACTGATTCCTTGAAAATTTTCAGCCATCGGAAAAATAATAGTTGACAACGATTACGGATAGAAGGTTCTTCTTTGACTGATTCCTGACTCATTCAGATGCTATGCATTACGGACGCGGCCGAGATCGTCAAGCGGTCGTTATAGATTGCTGCCCAATGTCTTCACACGGTGCTCTCCGTCGCTACCCTTACTTTTTCCGTAAAGTTCATCGTTACCTTAAAGCGATCGACGGTCTTGAATACATCATCAGTGATGCTATTGCTACTGTTCACGCCTTCGCTAATTTACATGCCGTAGTGATGATAGCAATTCAGGTAATATCAATGAACAGATGCCGAAATTCCCGGATTTTTTTAGCAAGTTTCATAACTATTGAAGTTATGGCCAAATATTATATCATTTAAAAAGGTCGTTTTGCTTCTTATACTTACTTGGATACTCGGATGGCCCATCCTCACTAATTGTGCAGGCCCCAGCACAACCCCCATTTTTTCGGGGATTTTTCGGTTTAGCCATTGTGGTCCATGGAATCCTGACGTCAACCTGGCCAAAGTTTGCCCCAGTTTCTTCTTATAATTAATAAAATTCAAAAGAATGTAGTGTAGAGGAGAGTCGATCTCGCAGTTCTCAACAAAGCAAACCATACTAAAGATTTCCAATTTTCGTAAAATAACAGTAGTCACCTCTAAATTTGGTGGCGCAGACAGTTTTGTATTTAAATTTCTAAAGGCCTGTCGTTCTCACAAAGAAGTTGTAGCAGATAGAGCGCTTACGAAGTTGTAAAAAATTCTTTGCTCTATTGCTTTTAATGGTGAAAGCAAGTGAAACGTTAGTTGATGACCAAAAGAGCAAACTAACAAACAGACGACAACTGCGAGTTGCCCCTCGTCTGAGTACCTACGACTAGGCACCAACGAGAGCGTGGGATTATCGACGATGCTCTCAGAGCGGTCGTCGCCTCGTGGATTATTGAGTGAATCTTAGCCTATAGAATATGTCATCGACGGAAGAGGATTCGTGAGCTTCAGAAGCTTGAAATTTTGCTCTGCTGTGGTAGAGTAAATAAAAGAGCACTTTGTTGGTAAAAATGTTTACACGTTTCTCATTTCTTTTTTTAATAAATTTTTAAATGATTTTGTATACGTAACCCTAAAGATTTGCTTAGCATCTCACAACGTTAAGAATCTTGGCCCAAATGTTTCTGACAGATAATTTCAACGTCATGACTTTGTAACTGTACGTTCTTCGATATCCGATCTTTTGAATCATTCATATGGTACCACAGAGCAGTCAAAGCTTCCTCGATGACGATCGCTCGTTGCTTTGCAGCAAATGATGATGTTATGGCAAAATGCAAAGAAGATTTTAGATTTCTTCGTGCAGATCGATTATTCATACTTCAGACACATGAAATGATCAACAACGCCTTCTATACAGATACGTGTGATCTGACGCTGAAGACATCGACGTGTGCGATTCCAAACTACGTGACTATGTTCTGCGTAGTGGGCATGATGCTCAGCCAGCATACACTCCGGTTTGACCGTCTTGCCTCCACCGCGTACGCCAAACTCTACCGTCGCCACTCCAAACTATTCGCCGTATCCTATGCATGTTCGCAGTAAGCTGAAGTTTCCGTTGTGACTGTTTGTTATTTCATATACCATGGATGAGTTACGATTTACTATCATAATAGAAAGTCTATAATGTTTCGCTTTTAAAGGTGAATTCTATGTTTAGAACAAAGCCATCTTGTTGAGCCTGGAGATACTTGGCTGCAGTTACTTCTTCCCTCTAGAATTACGATAAGGTATGGAGCATAAATTTCGCTTATATAGCGACAAACAAGGTGTAGGAAATGGGAAACCCTTACCGACGACGCAAAGACAGACTATTTAAGTAAGTTAGTGTTTTCTTTTTGAGCAGATAGGAAGTGGTATTAACGAAATTTATTTAGTATTAGCAGATGAGTCGGCAGTTTCGCCTGGAAATGTCGAATTGATAGGCAATTTACTTAGTTAGACATATTCATAACTACAGAAGATAACAGCAAAATTGTTACCAACATTCTGATATCTGTTCAAGAGAAAAACATCATTATATTAAACAGAGCTGAGGTGAACAGGAAGTCAGTCCTGGGAATAAACGAATTTATTAGGTAGGACGTCGGAGTCAATTTCTCCTGGCTACTATCACGAAATAATGTTCTTAATGCTGAGAAGAAACATAGAACAGATTCCATAACAACGTTTCTATTTCCCGCCAGTCAGCTATGCGACGTTGATATACCAAAATTTTGAATTTCCAATCGAACTAAGATGTTTTGAGAGCATAGCAAGGAGCGAGTTGGCATGGAAGCGAGAAATTTGTAAAGCGTAGTAAAAACTTTGCTTTGAAATGGTATCTGTTACGAACATAAGACAGTAGCCAAAGCCGGAATTTTTTTCAGTTTTCCTAAAATTTCATGCTCTCTTTATAGGTCGTTGCCTCTTTTCTGGCTTCGTTCGTTCTGTTTTACAGCGATCTCTACGATGATCCGGTACTCACCTGTCTGAGGAGACCTGCAGCAAGTACCATGAAGTTCAACCGTCTCTTGTACTCGTTCACAGCCGTGGGATTGCTTGCCGTCACCGCCAACATCTGCCTATTCATCATCAATAGACGCAAGCAAGACACGTGGGTAATTCTACGAAGGCTTCAATGAACACCATGTTTTTGCTTCATAGATATTTCCCGCTGAATGATCTCCAAGCAGTTAGTCTGAAAGCTACGGGCTGCATCGCTATACTTCAATATTAGGTTAAATATGGACTTAAAGCAAGCTTGTTACTAAAATGAAGGTTTATATAGGTGTTGGATTTGCTGCTGTACCCTTTGCATACAACACGAGCAGTTAAATTTAAATCGGAGTGCCGTATTTCATTGACCAGCTAATATGAGGTTGTTACCAAACTTTTATTAGGCCAACATTTCGACGTCTTCATCTTTCTCAGAGCCGATGATCCGAGTCGATTTCCACAGTCCTTCGTACTCTCGACATGGTACTTTCGTCGTCGTATTCAGTCGGATCATCTTCAGTGGGAGCATCGCTCGAATGAGGCAATATCAGCACGACTCTCTTTTATATAGGATAGTTGTTGTTGATACGATTGTCCGGTGATAATAACTTGTTTTTCAGACACTTTATCCTGCAGAAGTCCGCATTAAATAAGCTTTGACGTAGCAAAGCAATATAATTGTAAACCGACTTTCGTTTAACCTAGATGCGGCTACGAAGTACTGTAGGCATCAACTCGGATCATTGGCTCTGAGGAAGACGAAGGCGACAAAACATTGGCCGAAGTAACAACCTCTTGTAGCTTGTCAATGAAATATGGTGCATTGATCATTCATGCCGAGGTTAAATGAAAATCGGTTTACAATGACATCAAATCGGCGTTTTGCCTAACCGATGTCTTTATCGTTACAATGGTTGCCCACACTGTAACCTGCTTTTGGAAGATACCATTAGTAACAATGTTGATGAGGATTGCGACCAGCTCGTAACCACCTCCACAATCAACTGCATCACCTGGTTCCCCATCAATCATCGAGTAGCTCCAGTAAGAACTAGGAAACTATTATATATCTGTCCCTTCCGGTATCAGAGCCATTACCAGAGCCAGATTCCGCTTTCAAAAGACATGAAGAACATTACAATTTTCGCGTGTTCTTCTCGTTGTTACTGTTTCTAGAGAGAATATGCCATGGAGAGCTCGCCAGACGATGCAATGCCGTCGGGTTACTCTTGAGATGCTTCCAGATAAAACTATCGAATTCCTCAGATTTAATGATCTAGATAAGCGGATGCGCTCAGCAGCCTAGATAGAGCACCTCATTCACGAACATCCAGTGAACATTGGCCTAATTTCACTTTAGTGCCAAGAAAGCCAAAAATTTGAAAGCTACCAAGAGGAGCCCCTCTTTAGAATCCTTCGAATTGGTAAGAACTTATGCCTGAGCTTGCAAATTTGTGCATACAGCTGACGCGAGATGAATGTGAAGAAAATGTCGCTGATGTCCAGTGGATGTCCAAACAAGTAGAACCTTGTTATTGGACAAAAATGGGAACCGATGCATCATCAACCACGATTGCTCGATCTATCTGTTATCCGTTGTCTACTCTTACCATGCCACAAATTTGACTTAATTAACCATCATGTTCTACATCACACCTTCCGTTAGTGAATTTTTAGGAGATCTCGCTGCTTTTAGAGAACTCGGACAATTGCCGTTAAAAGCATCAGCTTTAGCTTGCGTTTCAATGTCACTCATCGATTCGAGGCCTATGAGAACGTTCTCCTTACCAAATGGATAGGCTTGGTGGCCATAGCACAATTTGTCTTCATGACCACTGACTCACTAGCGATATTCCTCATTCGTACTAGGAGCCGGAATTTACCTGACGTGACCAGAGAAGTGCTCATAAATTGGTTTTACGTAAGTCATTTATTCTACCTAAAGGTGCCATTTCTGAGGTTTAACGCATTTTATCTAACCTTTTTGTTCCTTTTTCACTTGAGTTTTGTTTGGTCTGTGCTACAGAATTTCTTGAGCGAAGAAGTCTCGAAATGACAAATAGATAGTCACTAAAAATGATCGGAATTAAAAATTTTCTTTAGTTTAATGATGGGACGTAATAGAGACATTGTCAACCAGCAGAGATACTGGATCTGTTTCAGCTGGTGCCGTTCTCTACTCTTTCATTGCCACTGATATCGCTTCTGGTCATCCATCACACTTCGAGGAAACGCATGGCATGCAACAGTCGGATGACAAGTGAAAGGAGTGACCATATGGTACACCTTATAAAAATGTGGAGTTGACCAGGGCTTTTCGACCACCTTGCCGTTTAAGGGTAACATTCCTACCAGTCCTTTACCTTCAACGCTACATAATGAATAATTTTACAGAAAAAGAAATTCCTGTTTCTATTTATAGGACATAATGCAGAACATCGGCAATGTGTCGGAAAAAGTCAGAAACCACAAAATCATTTCAACTAACTAAATTGCTTTAAGGCAGTTTAAGATATAGTCGTAAGGAACAGCCTTTGTTGATTGAAAATCATGTGTACGTCCAGCTGAAGAGATAGCAATCCTACTGAACGAGAAGATCGTCATTATGGAGAAAAATTATCCCAGTACAAAAATCTCTCATGAAGTCTCAAGTGTATGCAAGCAGATCTGATATAGTGTTTGTGAACTGTTTTAAGTTCTCCTCTCAAGAAAATACTGAATAAAATGTTAGTGAAACATTGTGATGAAAAGATTGTGATTATAACTGCAGCCTCAGCTTCACTGGGTTCGTTGCCGATTTGGGCTGCCCAGATCAATCCCGCTGACGGGTGATTGCTGATGGCAAAAGATCGGTAGAGCTAGCTGAGAGACAGGCGAAACGAAGGACTCGCATGGTGTGGTGGTGAATGCGTTACTCCCCGGAAAGGACAATAGCGCTTTCGTTCTCCACCGCAGATACCTCCGGTCCGGATTTTTGCATTCGCAATATATACTCTGCCGTTAAAAAAAGTAGGCAGCAGATAATAAGTTAGTGAAACAATTTCCAACAACTAAATTGTATAAATATTCTATAAAATATCAGTGTCTGTGAGAAGACGAGTGAAATAGTCATAAGAAATAATGTGCTAAATGGACAGTGCTTCACTATTAGTGTACATTCAAGAATGAACAAGGAAAATTTGGGCATGCTTGGTGGTATGTGTAGGGAAGTTGTTTGAAATACCCCGCAATATGCACTGGGACGTTGGTCCAATCTGCGTCCCCGGCAAACCAAGCCATATCTCTGCAAAGACAAAGCCACTGGTTTGGTTGGTTTGGTGCCTTGGTGGCCCGCCGCAACTCATCGCATAGGTTAAATATGGAGTGAACTATCTCCCCGATGCTTCATGACGCTAAGCATATGGCGCATGCATAAGAGATTGATCAACGCCGAACCCTTTACGCTTTTTCGTGATATTATGTGAATATTGTGTTCGAACACACCGTGGCCTGATAAGGTCATAAGGGGTAGTGCGATTCTACTCGTTTTGCATCCGGTAGCGAAATTCTCCATACATGATTGAATGATTGCGACTTTAGTACTCGTGATTCCAACTTAAATACTCAGTTTCAATACAACATAACCATTCGTTACCCTCGCTACGATGTTTTTCTTGTATTGTTTAGACATTGCTTTTATTACCCAGCTTCTAGGTTCACACTGCGTAAAGACAAGAAGACCAATTTTACACCGTAGTCAATTACTCTCGTTGCCCACACAACGACGAAACGTAGAACTTTAGGCTCAGTATGACTCTTGTTTATACAATATTGGGGAATTATTCTAAGCCCATTTTTCACACGACTTTATCGAACGCCTATCGTAGCATCGCGCTGTCGTGCGCAACTTTCCACAAAATAACGATGGACTTAGCAGCATTACTAAGCCTTATTCCTGACGACTATTTATCTTTTTCCTTTCTTCTCTTTAACCTGTGCGTTCTCAGCCCATATGTAACTTATAGATGCACGCTACTTGTCTCCAACACAAATTCAACTGTGTAGTTCATGGCGCTGATACTCAATGTGTGTCAATCATTCGTGATCGAATTCATCATCGAACTTCCTGTGGTGTCTTACATAATGGGAAAAGTGTGCAGATGTCTAATTTNGTTACCCTCGCTACGATGTTTTTCTTGTATTGTTTAGACATTGCTTTTATTACCCAGCTTCTAGGTTCACACTGCGTAAAGACAAGAAGACCAATTTTACACCGTAGTCAATTACTCTCGTTGCCCACACAACGACGAAACGTAGAACTTTAGGCTCAGTATGACTCTTGTTTATACAATATTGGGGAATTATTCTAAGCCCATTTTTCACACGACTTTATCGAACGCCTATCGTAGCATCGCGCTGTCGTGCGCAACTTTCCACAAAATAACGATGGACTTAGCAGCATTACTAAGCCTTATTCCTGACGACTATTTATCTTTTTCCTTTCTTCTCTTTAACCTGTGCGTTCTCAGCCCATATGTAACTTATAGATGCACGCTACTTGTCTCCAACACAAATTCAACTGTGTAGTTCATGGCGCTGATACTCAATGTGTGTCAATCATTCGTGATCGAATTCATCATCGAACTTCCTGTGGTGTCTTACATAATGGGAAAAGTGTGCAGATGTCTAATTTAACACAGAGTATATATTGCGAAATATAACTTTAATGATGCTGAGATATTTGCAAAACTCCGGACCGCAGGTGTATGCGGTGGGGAACGAACGCGCTATTGTCCTTTCCTGGGAGTAACGCATTCGCCACCACACCATGCGGGTCCTTCGTTTCGCCTGTCTCTCAGCTAGTTCTATCGATCTTTTGCCAGCAGCAATCACCCGTCATCGAGATTGATCTATTTCGCAATATATACCCTGCCGTTAAAAAGAATAGGCAGTAAATAATAAGTTAAAACAAAGTAGAGTTTTATTTGTTAAGATGTCCATAAGAGAAATTTCTTTCAATAACAAACTGCAATGAATAGGCATAATATCCCGAGGGAATATCCGAAGATACTCAGATTTTCTTCAGCAAAGTGATTCCACTTTCTAACTTATAATATAATACTGGTCTACATACACAGTCATGCGGCTGGCACACATCATTCCCAATGAGCACGAGATCGTAAACGCACCCAGTATCAGTGATAAGGGCCGAACCGGCTTTTTCCATTGCGTCAGCGGCAAGCCGTAAATGGTGGGTCGAGTGAGCGACGGAATAGAGACTGGTTCACTTGGTCGAGTGTATTGATGACCCCAAGTGAGAATGGGAATTCTTCTATAGGAATGGCGAAACGAATGTGTTTTGAGTGTCGGCATACCATGGCTGTCCATCCAATCTGCAAAGACGTACCAGTTAGTCCTAGTAAAGGCAGGCACTCAAATACCTCAAATTCCGATTTCAAAGTATGTAGGTCACTTGTCATAACAACGAATTTTACCATCTAATTCTAAATAGTCTTTAAAAAATCAAAGTTTTGGCACGCTGAGATATCCAGAGGAAAACTTTGTCGTCAGACTAGTTGAGTCCTTCATTTATTTTCTTAGAACGATGGTTTTCCTTTCTTCCAAAGAAATTTTCGGGATAAAATTTCCGATAACGTCAGAGATGATAACTAGATCGTCCCATGTTCTTAATCGGATTCCTCAAAATGTTAAACACTAGTTTTTTGAAATCCTGGAGAGATCATATTATTGGTTGGCTAGCAATTAAATCTCTCAGACATAGCCTAGGCTCATAGAAAACTGTGAACAAGGACCGAAATCAATATCGTCGGCTTAGGATCTGAATGGTGAGAGATGCGCTGAGGGTGATCAAATAGAAACGTCAATCTCGTCTCGATACACGAATCTCAACAGAGCAACCGCCAGGAAATGTTATTAATGATGAGACGGGATCTATATGACTCAATTCGAAAACAAGGCTTAATAGCACACAGTAGGAGTAAATCGACCGCTTATTGACTCTTCAATCTGACTGCCTACTCCCGCTAGTTGTAAAAAGTACTAACAGTTTTGTTATAGACTTCTACAAACCCAGCTAACAGAATATCGATTCACATATTTATCAGGCTAGTACCCGCCTAAGTTGTTAGCGCTATGTTTCAGAGTAAATTATTCCATGCATCTCATAAGTTATCCTTTTGATGGTTATTGGTGCCGAAGTGAGTCATACGTGCACTGCGGGGAAAACTAGACGAAGTGAGATATGCATGATTTTATTTCCACCCGTTTAATCTGCAGCATAAAGCCAATAACATGAGCTGGAATTTCTCATTCAAAGGCTCCTCGTGTTGCTCCTCATGGCACGTTATCCATAATTTCCGAAGTTGTGGTGCATAACCTAGCGAACTCTCTCAATAGACAACACATTTCGGCATCATATATTCTTCGATTGATATGCTAACATGGAGTGATAAAAAATTTCATTCGACTAACGTTTTGGCGTCTTCGTTTTCTTCGGAGGCGGACTGATTCGAATCGATGGCCCAGAGTCGTGCGCCCTCGGATGAGGGTATTCGCAATCATTCGAATCGAATCTTCTAGAGGGGAGCACCAGTCGAATGAACTAACCTCATTAGGCAGTCTCCTTTTATACACAACAGTTGTTAATCCTGATTGCTCGTTGGTAATCGTTTGTTTTTCTCAGCACAGTCTATTCCACAGCAGCCGGTGCCGTTACCAACGAGCACACAACGAATCAATATTACAAAAACCGACTTTCCTTTAACCCAGGAATGACTGACCAATATGGTACTGTTTCATCGATAAGCTGACAAGAGCTTGATGACAAAGTTTTACAAAAACGAAAACGTAGGATAAAAATAAAACTAAAATTGAATAAGAAATTATGACAAGAAAAATTTAAAAAATGTAAAGGTAAAGAAGAGACAAATAAGAAATAATGGATAAAGAAGAGTGAAACTCTCGGCGTTGATCAACACCTGAGAAATGCACCAAGCATTCAACTCCACTAAGCATCGTTAGAGGTGAGGGAATCATATCTAGCTATTACAGACACTGGCAGTGGCTCACCGATGTATCGAATCAGTGCTGCTATCAACCCAGACAAGACCGGCACCAATTTGCCGACCCGGGAGGGATGGAAAGCGCGGTGAGCCTGACGCGCCTGTTCGAATCCACGTGTATTGTAGGGTACTTTTAACCACTGAGCTACACGCACCCTAAATAATAATAATACGACAAATTAATAAATAAATAAAACGGACAA